GTATTTCTGGGCATAAGGAAAGACTTCAGGACCACCCAAGTTGTTCAAGGCCCTTCATAGAGGCAGGAAAAAAGGGTAGGGGTAATGGTCCAGGATGGCATGTGCTAGCTGTGTTCCCATGTTCTGAAAGGACTTCAAGTGACTAAAGCCTGGGTAGCCGGGTTATGAGAAGGCGTGTGTCAAGACAGGAGGGTAGACCGTATTTTAACAGTTAACTTGATTTATAATGGTGAAATATTTATGCATATGACATGGGGTCTCCATCTGTGTGCTTGCCGGAGGCCTCTCAAATGTTCTGCACAGGTTGTACCCTCCTGTGCACCGCCGGGCTCCGTGAGAATGTGAAAGGCCCCGTTAGTGGATATGAAATGACAGCTGCAGATTCATTTGTCTCGTGTTTCACATAGTGTAAGCATCTTCTCCCCAGAGGACAGTCAGATTTTCTCTTGTTTAAAAATGCATTTTTTATTCAATTTGGTGCTTAAACACAAGCCAACTACTTCATTTCATGCTCAGTTAAAGAAATGGCAATTTAATTTCAACACGGGGGGTTTGAAGAGAGGACCTGGCTGTTTGCTGGAAGCACTTTTGGGGTGGTCTAAGGGAGCAGTCTCCAACCTGTTCGGCACCAGGGACTAGTCTTATGGAGATAATTTTTCTATGGACCAGGTGGGGGAGGCATACTTTGGGATGATTAAAGCACATTACATTTATTGGGCACTTTATTGTTATCAAGTTGTAATATGTAATGAAATAATTATATGATTCACTATAATGCAGAGTCACTGGGAGCCCTGAGCTTGTTTTCCTGCAACTGGACTATCTCATCTGGGGTGGGGGGGAGGGATGGAGACACCGAGTGTGTTGCTATGTCCAGTCTACTTCAGAATCTTATTGTGGTTGCTGTCTCTACACAAAACCCTGCTTCACAAAGATAAGATGTCGGAAATGGAAGAGGCTTTTCAGTGCTTTTGTGGCAATCTCAGGATTTTCTGCCTTGACTTTAATCCCAAATGTGTAGAGATTTGAATTTGTCTCAAACGTGCATTTTTAAGGGCCCATCATTTGTGATCTCAAGCAGTTGATCCCCTTCTAGCACACATACAGTCCATTCACCTGGCTTATTCACAAATGGGTTGCGGGTCCATTCCTTCCCAGTTCCAGAGTCTTTTGTGGTCGAGAAGTGATGCTCAAACTCTTCTGAAAGCTGAGATAGGTGACCATGCACCGGCTGGGAGGAAGAAGGCCCTGGCTTGGTCTCCTTCAAAATCTTTGCTAATGTTTAAATGTGTCAAAAATCCCGAAGTTCATACATTGCTCCCTAACTTCTATTTGGCTTTGAATGCAGCCACTTCATCTGCCAACTTGAACCTAGTTGTCCTTCTCTCCTGAACTGACAGATTGAGCGTGTTGAGTAGGTTGACTACATCACACAAGCAAGCTAGCTTTGCAACCCATTCTGTGTCACTGAAATGTGCTGCCAGTAGTAACTGTTTTTCTAAAAGAAATTTCTGGAGCAGCTCAAAGGAGCAGCAGATGGCTTTCTGAAGGAAAGCCATCTCCCTTCTGTGTATCCAAGAAGACCTGTGTACTCTGTGTCCATCTCCTCACAGAGCTGTGTGAATAGACATGAATTAAGGGCATATACTTTAATGTGGTTGATAATTTTAATTATATCCTGCAAAATATTATTTAGTTCAGGTGACATTTTTCAGCTAGCTAGCATTTATCTATGAATGACACAGTGTGTAGACTCGCATTCAGAAGTGACCGGGCTTGACCTGAGTAGTGAACCCAGAAAGCCGTCCAGTCATGGCAGCCACTCTGTCCATGCATATACCAATACAAAACAGTGAATTCCATTTTCCTGAGATGCAATCATTCAGAGACTCCAGTAGTTCTGCAGCTGTGGTATTGTTTGGCAACAAAAGCGTACATAGCATATCATCATGCACATCACCCCCCCCAGATAAAAAATATATCCCCCAAAAACAAGCACTGTTGCCTTGTTGTCAACTTGGGTAGACTCGTCCACCTGGATTGCACACCTGCATCTCATCAGTCCTCTCTGACAACTGTGCCTCAGTACCCTCTGCTGTTTCATCAATCCATCTGGGTATGGTCTGGCCAAAAGAGGAACACGTGCCGCCCTCTGAACTGCAGCCTCTCTTAAAAGTTCACAGCAAATGTCCTTAGCAGCAGGCAGGGTCAACTCTCTATCAACAGTGAAGGCGTCTTCCTTTAGTAATGTGATCAGCTGCTCACAGTGACACTCTCAGTGCAGACACATTTGATGGAGAGGTGGCCTCCAGTAATTGCTGCTGGGTTTTGTGCTCACTTTTCTTTTGAAAAACTCCAAAGGCTTGTCTTTCAGTGCAGGGTGCTTGATGTCCATGTGGTGAAGCGGTTTTGAATGTTTCATGGCTTGGCTGGATAGCCAGTCGCCACATCCTATACCAAGTGGGCTCAGAGAATGTGAATCACCTGTTGCAGTGAGCCTGTAATTTAAGTAGGACTCTTGAGCTTTTCTTTTAAATGCAGCTTTCCTTTTGTTGGCAGTCTCAGAGAGTTCTGTTGTTGCATCACTGGGGCTTTCCCCCTTTCCAAAGACGCTCTCCGGCAATGTTTGCGTTTCACTCATTTCTGCTGGGGTCAGCTTGTGAACTCACCACAAGCGTGATGAGACGAGTGCACAGTGCAGGAAAGAGGTACAGACGAAAGTGGTAAATAAAGTAATGGGTAGACCAGGCGTAGACTAAAATAAGTGTAAGATTCTGACGTAAAGCCTGCCTCCAGATGCAGCTGTGTGACTGACTGAAGTCAGATGCTCACTCACCACTATAAAGCCTGCCACAAGATGTGGCTTAATTGTCACTTGCCACTCACTGACAGGGTTTGATATGAGTCTGCAAGCAATTGATTTATTGTGGCCACTGTGCAGCCAAACCTCTCTGCTAATGATGATTCATATTTGCAGCCATTTCCCAGTGCCCCATCAGTGCCTCAGCTCCACCCCAGAACATCAGGCATAGATCCTCCTAAGGAACACACAGCCTAGATACTTTGCAGTTTACGTTAGGGTTTGTGCTCCAATGAGAATCTAATGCCCCTGCTGATCTGACAGGAGGTGGAGCTTAGCTGGTGATGTGAGCAAAGGGGAGTGGCTGTAAATACAGATGAAGCTTCACTTGTCTGCTGCTCACCCCCTGCTGTGTGGCCTGGTTCCGTTATAACAGACCATGATATGTACCAGTCGATGGCCTAGCGGTTTGGGACTGCAGATCTACAGGATTTTCAAGCAGAATTTTCTTTCTGCACAACTTTCTACTCAACCAGTAAGAAGTGATTCCAATAGTCACACTAACTACCTGCGGGCAATGTAAGGTGCCACAAAGATCTACTTCCTTCTCAGGAACAAACCCCACGTTTAACATCCTCATGATCAATGAAGTCATCTCACACAGTTGTTATTTATGTCATATTAGATTGTTTTTATTATTTCACATTTAATACAAATGGATTCTGACTTGTTATTTGTGTATTTTTTAAATTAGACCTTTCTCCCAAGATGACCCCACTACCTCCCACTGATCCTGACTTTTCTGGTTTAAATAACTCCACTTCTGTTCACATATCTCCAGGACTCATTTTATGAGTTGTTTTAGCTGGCTGTCTCCAAATGTTCCACATCCCTTTTGAGATCAAGAAAGGGACAGGGACTTACCAGAGACTCTCATAGAACTGTCCTCTCTTCAGCATGGTACCTCATCATCCCCCCCCACCCCGCATCTGACCTTGGACCCAGCATGCAGGCAGCCTCAGTAATATTTTGGCTCTTCTGCTTCAGGGAATAAACCTCCCTCCCCTGCCAGAGCCAGGGAGGAGTGGAGACTCACTGTCTGGGCTGGAGCCTGGTGAGCCCTCGTCCTCTCTGCAGCCTCCCAGCACTCAGTGCTGCTTTCCCCACCTTCACTACACGCTCCCCTCCCTTTCTCTCAGGGGTCTAGATTACTGTCCTGTCTTCTTTGGAAAGTGAATAAAACCCCAGAGATTACTTTATTGGAATTTCCGAAGGGAACAGAAGAAAATATAGGTATTCTACCTACCAGATGTATCCAGAAGGAAAACTTGTTTAAAAAAAAAAAAAAATTCATTATGACACTAAGAATTGTTTCTGTGGCTCGGTGCCTATGGCTCAAGTGGCTAAGGTGCCAGCCACATACACCTAAGGTGGTGGGTTCGAATCCAGCCCGGGCCCACCAAACAACAATGATGGCTGC